TCGGTGGATAGAGCGTCGGCCTGCGGACTGAAAGGTCCCAGGTTCGATTCCGGTCAGGGCATGTACCTGGGTTGCAGGCACATCCCCAGTGGGGAGTGTGCGGGAGGCAGCTGGTCGATGTTTCTCTCTCATCGATGTTTCTGACTCTCTATCTCTCTCCTTTCCTCTCTGTGAAAACTCAATAAAATATATTAAAAAAAATAATAATTAGATTTATCATTAAACAATACAAAATTTGATAGAAAGAACATTTATTGAAGAGTAATCTTTTTTCAACATCGGTGATTTCCATATGAAAATAGTAAATATTTATTTTGTTATAAAGTTGACTACATTATAATTCTCCCTCTCTGTTATCATTTAGATGGGTCCAAATATACAATGCATGATTCCTTTCAGTTCTGCCTTTGTCTTTCTTGCAACTTCAAATTTTCTACTTTACAAGTATGCTGAAAAGCATCTGAGTCTTGCAACTCTAAGGTCTTCCTGATTAGGAGCATCTGACAGCTTGGTAGACGTGCAAAATCTCATGCTTCACCCTAGCTCAACATTTTAACAAGATTTCCAATAGATGCATATTATCATTTAGTATTAAGAAGCACTGCTCCATTGGACTCATCTTTAGTCGATGATTCCATAACAAGTGTCTTATTTTTTTTCAGATCAGATGTGGATGGAGAACCTGCTAAGGTGGGAGCAGAGAAAACTAATGGAGATCAAGAGGGCTGAAACCTTGTCTCCAAGTTGCCTTTATCAGGTTCACGACTCCAAATTTTTTTTTTATTTGAAATCACTTCAGGACAGGTAGAGAACAGGGAAGCTCATAAATTCAAGTGCATAATTCTACTCACAGTCAGATAAAAACCAGCAAGATCCCCCATGGTTTTCGACACTGGAGTGGAAGTGGCTATTAAAAAGGAGGACATATGTAACACTTTCAATAATAAATATTTATTTACAATATAAATTATTAATATTGGGAGAATAAAAATATATGCCACACATAAAATGCATTATATACACATTTAAATGAAAGGTCAGAAAGTAAAAGTCTGGGTGAAATGAAATGTGGTCAGAGTGAAATAAGTAGTTTGGGTTATAAAATGGGGGAAATGCACATACCAGAAGTGATTTTTTTTAATTTATTTCAAGTATAAAAAACTTCGGGATAAAATAAAAAGAAGCAATAGTGATTGGCACTGTCACATCATCCATTTATTCTTTTTCTATCGACTTATATCCCACTACATAAAAAGAAATGTGAAGTAACATTGCCTGTCAGCTTGTAGGCAGTAAAATCTTTTGGAATAAATGAACAAATACTGCAAGCCTCTTTTGAGTATGGAAACGTTCATTTCCTATAATATTACTAACTAGATACCCTGAAAACCCTTTTCTACAAAACAGAAATGATGGGTAAAAAAAATAAAATACATACATTTAAATTCAAACCTGTACTAGCAAAATTTAATAAAATCCCCGAGGTCCCAAAGCAAAGGGGTCATTGAAAACCAGTGTGTTAAGCACAAGAACCGACTCTCAGCAGCCTTGGGGAAACTGTTGCTTGTCAATAACCTGGTCTTAGGTTTTGATGCTCATAAGAGGATAGGTGACAACCTGTGCAAAATGGAAACTTGGAATGATACCACACAGGGCATTCAAAAGACTCTCAGTGAACACATCAACTTAAAGACTACATGCACCCGCAGAAGTGAATTAAGAAGTCCTTGTCTAGACACCTGGGATCTGGGTGAAAAAAAATTAGTCTCCTGTAATCATTTATCATCATGGGCCAAAAGTCACTTGTTCTCAAAGTTTAATTTCAACCACCTATGTTCTCTAACAGACTAGAAATTAAAATAAAGTGTTCTTGAGCTAATGATATCCCACAGTTTCAGGGCAAAGCAAATTAAAATCCTGCCTTGATAAATTATCGCTCAATACAAACTACACAAGACTCCCACAAATAAAGCCTTCTGATGACATGAGAGTCAGCAGGCAAAAAAGCAAACACATCAGAGAAAACCACTATTAGATATTAATGATAAAGTATGTTTAAAATGATTAGAAATATAAATGAAAAGAAAAGGAATTAAGTTTCAATGAAAAAAGGATAAGAAAAGAACCAACTAAAACACCTAAGAATGAAAAATATAATTAGTGAAAGTTAAAAGAAAAGCTTCATTAGGTGAACTAAATTTTAGATTAGCCACAACCAGTGAGAGAACTAATGCCCTGGAAGAGATGATTCATAATATATCCCCAAAAATAAAATGAGAGAAAGTGTAAAAGAAAACTTAAGAGTTTAACATAATAAGTCTAAGAGGTATTACAGAGGATGAGACTGGAGAGAAGGGGGGAAAGACTATTATTCTCAAAAATAATGCCTGAGAAATTTCTAGATTGATGAAAGATATTTTTCTTATCCTAGATTCTCAAGTAAGGTGTAAATATAATTAAATCCACACCTACACATTGCCCCTTGTAGTGTGATCATACAATTTAAAACTATGCGGGGAGGGGAATCAAAGGCAAAAATTTAATTATTCCAAAAAGACAATAATTAAACACTAGACTTTTATTTTCATTGAAACACTATCTGTAGAGAGTTGGGAGAACAGAGCTGAAGCTAATTATTCTATAATCATTAAATATTATTTAGGTGTGAGACAACATAAATTCAGTAATCAATCACTGAGTTTACCACTAATAGCTTCCTGTTTTATTTCCTATTTACAAGGAAGTAAAGGATATACATTTTGGAAAAAGGAAACATGAACCTAGAAGAACTAAGTTAATTGCAGGAATCATTGTAAGAAAGACAATATGTAAATAATAATGATTGTATAAAATAATAATAGTAATGTCTAATTTGGGGAATATAAATACCAGGAAGAATTAA